CCTAAGAAACATAATGTGACCCTGTCTCAAAACAATAATATTAAAGCACTGGGGATGTGTCTCAGTAGTTAGGGCCACTAGGTTCAATCCCCAGTACCAAAAAAAAAAAGAAAAATTGGTAAAATTCATCAATAAAACCATCCTATTTTTCTTTATTGGAAGACTTTATTACTGATTCAATTTCATTAGTTGTTATTGGTCTATTCATATTTTTAATGCCCTTATAGCTCAATTTTGGTAGGTCATATGTGTTCAAAACTTGGACTTTTTTCCAGGTTCTCTGATTTGTTATCATATACTTTTTCATAACCCTAATGAACCTTTGTATTTTTGTGGTTTCAATTTCAATGTCTCCTTTAACATCTCTGATTTTAGTTATTTTAGTATTTTTTTTGTTAGTGTAGCTATGAAAGCTTGTCAATTTTGTTTATCTTCTCAAAAAACCAACTCTTGGGGTTGGGGTTATGGCTCAGTGGCAGAGAGCCTGCCTACCATGTGTGAGGCACTGGGTTTGATTCTCAGCATTACATATGTAAATAAATAAAATAAAGGTCCATTGACAACTGAAAGTATATATATATATATATATTTTAAAAAAACAACTCTTTGCTTCATTGATCTTTTGTATATATTTTTTAAGGCTTAGCTTTATTATTTCTGCTCTTACAATTGCTATTGTTCCTACTAGATTTGGATTTGGTTTGTTGTAGCTTTTTAAAATTCTTGAGAAGCATCATTAGATTTTTTTTTAAATCTTTCCATTTTTTAATACAGGCATTTATTGCAAGAAACTTCCCTTAGATAGTGCTTTGGCTGTATCCCATAAGTTTGGTAAGTTGTGCTTAATTTTCACTTTTTTTAGAGATTGTTTAATTTCCATTTTGATACCTTTGACTCATTGTTCTTTCAAAAGTGTGTTCACTCCGGGACAGGAGTTATGGCTCAGTGGTAGAGCACTTGCCTAGCATGTGTGAGGCACTGGGTTTGATCCTTAGTACCACATAAAAATAAATAAATAAATAAAGTTATGATGTCCATCTACAATTAAAAATATTTGGAAAAGTGTGTTCATTCTCCATGCATTTGCTTAATTTTCATTGTTGTTGAACTCAAATTTTATTCCATTGTGATTATAAAGGATACAGGATATAATTTTACTTTCTAAAAATTTGTTAAGACTTGTTTTATGCCCTAATGCATGGTCTATTCTGGAGAAAGTTTCATATGTTGATGAAAAGAATATATATTCTATGGTTTTGGGGTGGAATAGTCTGTAAGTGTCTATGAAGTTCATTGGATCCATAGTATAATTTAACTCTTATGTTTCTTGATTTTTTTTGTTGGGGGGGGGGTCTGGATGATTTGTCCTTTGATAAAAGTAGGGTGTTGAAATTCTCCACTATTATTGTATTAGATTCTATATTTCCCTTTATAGAGTCTAATAATATTAAATCTAATAATGCTTGTTTTATGAAATTGGGTGCTCTGATATTAGGTACGCATAGATTTAAAATTGTTATATGCTATAGTTGAATTTATTCTGTGATTGTTCTGTATTGACTTTCTTTGTCTCAGAGTTTTTGTTTTAAAGTCTATTTTTTCAGATATAAGTATTTAGTGTGGGTGACTTATGTAATGTTCGATGTATTTAATTAAGCATCACATAAAACATAAAAATGGAAATGTTCCAAAGGTAGTTTTGAATGTTGATCCCAAAACTCTTGCTCACTTCAGGATTCCATTTGCTTAATTATTCTCCATCCTTTCACTCTCAATCTGTGTGTATCTTTACTATGAGGTGATTTTCTTGTAGACATCATATGGTTGGGTTTTGTTTTTATGCTCATTCAGCCAGTCTGTATTTTTTAATTGGAGAATTTAACCCATTTTCTTTCAAGATTATTATTGCTAGTTGCAATATTTGTTGGTTTTCTTTTAGTTTTGAATACTCTTTATTCTTTCACTTTTATTCATCTTTGGGGTTTTGTGTGGTTTGTTGTAATGATATAGTTTCATTCTTTTCATTTCTCACTTGTGTATCTCCTCTTCTAGTGAAATTAATACTCTCACATGCTTTCAAGATGGTAGTTATCTTTCATTTCTGAATGTAGGACTGCATTAAGATAATTTTGTATGGCTGGTATGGTGGTCATGAATTCCATCAGGTTTGCTTGCTTTGGAAACAATCATTTTAGATACAGGTGAAGGAAAAACTAATGAACTAAAAGAAAAGTCAAAATAAAATTTTATAGAATGCAGTATGGATAGAAAAAATGAAAAATATAAACCAAGTAGTCAAGAGTCATTTATAATGAATTAAGGAAGGCTAACATGTCTTGAGTGTAGTTCCAGAAGAAGAGGAAAGATACCAAAGTATTTTTGAAGAGATAATGGCAAAGATACAGCTTCAGCCTTTGAAAGATACTGATCTATATTTACAAAAGAAATCCTGAGACTACAAATCAGGATAAATTAAAGGATATCTTCCCATTAATGCTCCAAAGTAAAAATTGCAGAACATCAAAGAGAAATAAATTGCTGCCTCTCTCAAGCATAATATTGGATGAAAGATACAAGTGCAAAGAATTTACATAATGTTTTAATTCATATAACACTGAAAATCAAAACACCTTGTTTACCAAGGTGTGTGTGTGTGTATGTATATATACACACATATATATATAGTGTATATATATACATATATACACACTATACATATATATGGTTGGTAAGACTTTAAAACAAATGAAGTAATGACTTTAACCATCAATATGGTGGTTCTCTATTAAAAAAAGAGGATAGAGAAGCAAGCAAGTGGGGGATTCTGGGTTGCTGCAAAATGTTTGTCTTGACTTAGCTTGTGGTAACATGAATATTTGCAAGATAAAAAATCTTAATATTATACATTTGTTTTACATATTTATGTATATCTCTCAATTAAGTATTAAACACTAATTGTAGTGAAATAAAATTGTCCTGAAAGCATTTAGTAAAACATTTATAAATTTTTGGAGTTCTTTTCAGTTTTAGTCTTTGATTTTTTTCCCCTTATCCTACCAAGTGTTAGTAAGACATATAATTTAATAAACAAATGATCTTAGACAATGAAGTAAGGCATTTATTTTCAGTTAACATCACTGTCATGACTTAATCAGTTTTAATATCCCAATTAAGAATATCCATGTAAGATAATTCTAAATTTTTGAGCTTAGATTGTTGAGTATTTAGTAAGAGAAGCAAAAGGAGGTAGTAGATTTAGTGCAGATAAGTGTTTAATGTGTTGACATGTTAATTTAAGCTTATTGTAAAACATATAGACGGGAATGTTCCATAGGCACCTTTCCATGGTAATTCAAAACTCAAAAGAGATTGTAGAATCAGAGGTTGATTAGTAAGTCATGTTTTGAGAGGCCATCTGTGTCAGTACTAGGACTGCCATAACCACAGACAGAATGACTTAAGCCAAGAGAGATTTATTTTCTTTGTTTCTGTAGGTCAAAAGTCTGAGGTCAAGGTGTTGGGCACCATTAGTCCCTCTGAGGGCTGTGAGGGAATGTTCTGCTCCTAGCCTGTCTCTCTGGCTTGTAGATGGCTGTTTAGCCCCTGGTTCCATCCTCTTTTTATAATATAGCAATATATTGAATTTGGGTCCACCTTTATTCAATTATCCTTTAAACAATATTTTCTTCAAATGGGATTACATACATATAGAGATTATAACTTCAACATGTGAACTTTTTTTGTATGGGGTGTGACAGTAAAATACCATGTCCTTGAAATGCACTTTTCTATTCCCAAGAACCTAGCCAAGGTAAGAGAATAATAAGAGTGTGCCTGGATAAGAATCCCCAGATAAATACTATCTTGAAGGATACCTGTATTTCTCCCATATATTGCAAATAGGTCAGCTAGTGTTATCTATATGAACTGCCTTCTTGCATGGATTGCTAGGATAGGAACTCCTTGGTATGCTGGTCATAAAAAGAATAAAACAAACTAAGAAAACTAACAAATGTCACTGCTCCTATAGCCTAATTTAAAAACCCTTTTCCCTGTGATAACTGGCATAGAATTGAAGGCACTGTGAAGAGAATAAGTGCCACCCATTCAACCAGCTACCACAGGACAAAGTGCCTGGAGGGATGACAAGGCTATTTGGTAAAACACCATGAAGGATGGATGTGTTGTCTATGGTCAATGGAACTTCTATTTTTTTTCCAATAAACCTTATATCTTGTACACAATTTCTGGGTATTTTCTTTGGTGTCTTCGTAACCAATTCCAGTACCCTAGGACAATTGGGATGCAGTGCTGATAGTCTTAGAAATCGGGATCAGGTCCTCATTCCCCAGATGTTGAAGACGGAACACTGTAATGCCAAGACAAGCACACAAAGCAAGTTTTATTTGAGACAGAGAGATTGTAGAATCCTCTGGAGAGGAGCCAGGAGCCAGAGCTGTTGCCCATGGAGTGGGAGTGTCTTGCTTTTTTATAGACACCCACCTCCTTTCTTCCCTGAAAAAGTGCCCAAAGGCAGGAAAAAGTGGTCCTGGGGGTAATTGCTTGTGTTGGAACCTGTGTTCCTTCCGTTCCCCCAGAGGTATTGGCAACAGAGTGAGTGGGGTGGGGGAGAAGTGCTATCTGGAGGTTAGCTCATTTCCTTTTCTTTGATATTTAGCCCCCATCTTTCTGACCCCATCATTTATTATCTATCCTGGCTACCTGTCCTTTGCCTCTCTCTCATTGATATGGGGGTACAATTCAACATGCACTACCATGGTTTGAATCCTGAGACATAGGATCTAATCAATGTATAAGACACATTGAGAAAAAAAATTTCTGGAAAACATTCATATTCAGAAGAGGTAGAAGGGGACAGAGGCTGAGAAGGAGTTCATTTAAAGGAGGAGATGATCAGTGGGTTAAAAAAATGGCACAATATTCAATAAGAACCTATCTAGATTAAGTGAAGCAAATTAATTTTGGTGATGAAGTTATAAATGGAGACCATTGATAGATTTTGTAGAGTGGAGAGGATTGAAAGTGTGACTGAAGCAGGTAAGCGAGTAGGTCTGATGAAGATATAATAAAAATGGAGAGAAAGGAACAAATGTTAAGAATCAGAAGAGTTTTAAGAAGGAACTGCTAAAATAACTATTGGGGTAATTGTGTGAAATAAATGGTGCTGGGAGCCATTAGCCAAGTAGGTATGACAATTTCCTTGCCAGCGTACCCCATGTTGCTGACATGTTGCAGTGACATCGAATGTAGGTGACCTTGCTCAAGGACCAAGGCAGATTAGGGTGTTCCCGGTTTTAAGATAATTGTGTTTAGGGCGTTCCCAGTTTAGGTTCCAGGTTTAAGGTTTAAGATTATTCCTGCTGGGAATAGGGCGTATCCTGCTGCCTGAGTTCCCCTTGAGTTCTCACGGGATTTAGACAATATATTTTGGAGATAGAAGCCCAGTGGAGGTGGATTTGGGAAGAGAACGTGGATTTCCCCAGAACGTGATTGTAGATGGCTGGTGTGAGTTCGGGAATAAAGAGTTGCTGTTTGAATCTACAAGCTGTGTGGTGGCTCGTGATTCTGTGCCCAGCCAGACTGCGGCATTTGGCGGCTCGTACGGGGAACGTCATATTGAGAAGACTGTACATTTTTTACAGAGTTGGTTTTATCTAAGGATTGAAAAGATGTTTTAATGTGTATGGATCAATAAATGTAACTCACCATATAAATAAAGTTAGACCCCAAATAAGTCACCTCAATAGAAAGCTTTCTACAAAATTTGGCACCCATTCATGATAAAAGTACTGAAGAAACTAGGGATGGAAAGAATCTACCTCAACATCATAAAGGCTATATGTGACAAACCCAAAGGTATCATCATATTAAACAGGGAAAATCTACAAATATTTCCTTTAACGCATGGAAGAGACAAGGATATCTACTCTTGCCACTCCTAGTCAACATAATCCTTGAAACTGTAGCCAGAGCAACCACACAAGAGAATAAATTAAAGGGCCTCAAATAGAAAAAGAAGTCAATGAGCTGTTTGCTAATGACATGATCCTATATCTGGAAGACCCAAAATCTCCCAGAAGACTTCTAGAGTTGATAAATTCAGCAAAGTTGCTGGTTATAAAATCGGCATACGAGAATAATAGCTTTCCTATGTATCAACAATGACTCTATGAAGAAAGAAACCAGGAAAACAATTCCATTTATAATATCCTCAAAACAAAATGAAACAAAACAAAACCCTAGGAATGCATCTAACCAAGGAGGTGAAAAAAACTTTACAATGAACACTATAGAAGACTAAAGAAAGAAATTGAAGATACATGAAGATGGAACGCCTTGCCATGCTCATGGACAGGCAGAATCAATATTGTTAAAATCGTCAACAATCATAAGCAATATGCAGATTTAATGCAATCCCCATCAAAGACCAATTCTTCACAGAAAGAGGCAAACAGTTCTAAAATCAATTTGGAAGAATGAAAGACCCAGAATAGCCAAAGCAATTCTAAGCAAAAAAAGCAATGCTGGAGGCATCACATCTGACTTCAAATTATACTACAGGGTTATAGTAACAAAAACTGTCTGGTTCTGGCATTAAGAGACACTTAGATAAATGGTTCTAGGGAATAGAAAACAGTCAAACCTACACAGATAAAGCCATCTGATCTTTGACAATGATGCCCAAAACATAGAGCCTTGGAGAAAAGACAACCAGTTTTCCTAGCACCATTTGTTTAAAAGGCTATCTCCATGTAGAATAATAGAACTAGATTCATATCTCTCACCTTGCACAAAAGTAAACTAAAAATGAATAAAAAAACCTAGAAATTAGACCAGAAACTATGTAACTTCTTGAATTAAATACAGTGTTAGCACTTCTAGCTTATAGGTGCAGACAACAATGTTTCTCATAAGATTCCTAAAGCTCAGGAAATAATGCCAAAAATTAATAAATACAATGAATCAAATTATAAAGTTTATTCATAGCTTTATAAGAATGTGAAGAGACAACCTCCAAAGTGGGAGAAAAATCTTTGCTATCTATTCTGACAGGGTTAGTATACAGACTATTAGACAAACTCAAATAACAATAAATAGAAAAAATAACTAAACACATTTCTCAAAAGAAGTACAAATTACCAACAAGCGTATGAAAAAAATGTTGAACCACTTTAGCAATCAGGGCAATACAAATCAAAACTACACTGAGATTTCCTCTCACTCCAGTCAGAATGACAGTCATCAAGAACACAATAATAAATGCTGGAGAGAATGTGGACGAAAAGGAACATTTATATGGCATGATGGGATTGTAAATAAGTTCAACCACTATGGAAATTATGGAAGTTCCTCAAAAGACTAGGAATGAAACCACCAAATGACGTAGCTATATCATTTTTCAGTATTCCATCCTAAAGAATTAAGGTCAATATACTACAGGGATACATTCATATACATATTTTTAGCAGCATAATTCACAAAAGCCAAACTATGGAACCAGCCTAGGTGTCCATGAATGGATGAATGAATAAAGAAAATGTATATGTATGTGTGTAGATATGTATACATACACAGTATGGAGTCTTATTCAGCTATAATGAAGAATAAAATTATGTCATTTTCAGAAAAAATAGATAATCTCAATTTCCATGAATTTTATGTTAAGTAAAATAAGAGAAATTTGAGAGTCATATGTTATCTCTCATATGTGGATGGTAGAGAAGAAGAAAAAAAAGAAAGATGGAGGATTTCATGGAAATTGAAGGGAGATCAGTAGAGTACTGGAAAGGGACCGGAGAAGGGAGGAGGGGAGGAAAAAAGGAAATGCTGTGGGAATGATAATGCTACATTGGGTGCAGGTACAAGTATGCAACAATGAATCCCACCATTATGTACAATTATAATGCACTAGTAAAAAATATGAAGAAAAAAGCACAAGAAACTTTCATAACACAATTTATTTTTTATTTTCAGACAATCAAAATTCAAATTATATATATATATATATATATATATATATATATAAATATAAATATAAATATAAATAAATTAGAACTTCTTTTCCATAATTCAAAAAGATACTATTTAACATTTTCTGCATTTATTTCTAGTATAAACGTTATTACAAAACAAACTCTTCTGCCCATACTGATGCTATTGTTCCTTCACTATTGACCTTTCCTCTGACAGTGGGTCATTAAGTGTACAGACACTTAAGCCACATCCTTTTAAAGCAAGAAAGAGACATTTGACTATTGTTCTTTTTGATGGATAGGCTTTTAACCTATGTACAGTAGCTGTGCAGTATGTTTTAATTATCCAATGGTTTTATCCCATTGACACACTATTACAAAAGAGCTAAAGTAAAATCCTTAGTGAGAAATTCCAGAACAAAGTGAGTCTACTTCCTAGAAAAAAAATGTTATTTTCAAGAATTCTATTTAATATTTGATAATTGGTAGTATTAATTTATATTCCCACACCCACACACATATATACTCTTTCTCTTACAATGATACTAATCATAGATACTTTGAAATCTGAAAAGGTAAAAAAACCTTTCATACATAATTACTGGTTCTTTATGAAAATGAGAAAAATTCATAGAAAGGCAACAAATATAAGTATAATGCATCAGCATTTTGTTAGACTCTTGACTTTTAGCTCCAATGTAAGCCAGATCTTATCTATGGTAATTAATATTACCATGAAAAAGTTCTAGCAAACATTATTAAAGCTTTGTTATTATTTTTCAGTACTAGTCAAATTTGACCAAATAAAATAAAAGACTATTAACATGGCTAGCACATTTTCCCTTTGCAATAATTCATTGAGGATTAGTCTGGGTTAACAGTTTCAAATGATGGGAAGTATTCCTTATCCAAGTGTTTCCCAGTTTTAGAAGTGTGTCTAAGTCGATTCATGTTTTGTTATATTGAATTACATCTCAACATAAATAGTTGCAACAGTAAAACCTATTTATGGCTACTATTATTTACATTTTTATTTAGTGTAAAATATATTTGAGCTCAACAAAATTATTTACTAAATCATTCATTCAGTATTCTATGAGCATATAGTAAATGCCAAGTTTTTTTCTAGGTACTGAGATTCAGTTGTGAATTAAATACACAAAGGTCTTTGCCTAATTGAACTTACATTCTAGTACCAAAGACAGAATAATTAAATAAATTAAGTGTATTAAATTAAAATATATACTAATGAGGTGGCAAATGCAACAAAGAAAAATAAAGCATAAAATGGATATGGAGAAGGAGGGGGTGTTAGCTGAGGTTTATAATTTAAGGTATGTTATTTAGTAAAAGTCTCACTGAGAAGGCAGTATCTAAACAAATGAGAAGAAGGACTGATACCTGGGAGAATTAGCAATTACATTAAAGCATATAATTTATTTGAAAGAAATGTAAAAGGACTTCCAATTTATTTTGAAGTTTGGTATAAAATATTATATTGCCAAAGTTTTATGCTATTGATCTATCGTTGTGGACATATATTAAAAACATATGCAAATTATCCAGAGTTTTACCTTTCATATAGGGAGGATTTGAGTCATTAAAGCAATAGTGTAACAATAACTCTGAAGAAGTTATTTTGAAGGATAAGTAAAATATCCCATGTAGGAATGGATACCACCTATTCACAAAATATGTCATCAAATCCTATGTTTCAATGACATTAGGGAGCACATGCTGTGGATATCTCAGCAGAGAGTATTCCAGGGAGCCGAAACAGCATGGCAATGGTGAATTGTGAGTGGAATTCTGAGTGGAAATTTTGCCTGCAAAGTTCCCACAACTGTAGTGAGGCCCTTGAGTTTGGAGAGGAGAAAATTCATGGAAACAGGTGAGCTTGGAGTTTGGAGCTGGTGGAGCTGGGCTTTTAGGCCATATTTAAGGGTGTTGGTTTTATTGGAAGTGAAATGGAGACCTCTGCAATTTTCTGACTAGAAGAATGCAGTATATGCATGAGTTTTCACAGAAACACTTGGCCAAGGGTTCTGAGTTAGTCTCTCTACT